CCCCCCCCTCCGTGTCCTGTAGAAGAGTATCGAGTATTTGGTCCATAATGGCAGCCGGTCTGTAAAAGCCTATGCTCTCTTCCCCTTTGGCGGGTCTGGGACCGATTGATCAAGCCTTCAGGGATGAAAGCACTGGTTGGCCTGGGCGATGGCGTCCATGGTTTGAAGCACGGGCCATGCCTATGTCCTAGTGCACCTTTCGCCGTTATGCTATATCCGCCTTATTATGGAATACATTTGGAAGGATGTCGCTTCCGATGTACGCTTCTTCTTCTGATGCTCGATGAAGGTTGCTTTGAAGTTCACAGCGAAAACGAAGAGTTTGATACAGGCAATGCCGCGTTTACTAGAGAACTGAAAAACTGTAACATTTCTATCTTCCCTAAGTATAGTCGAAAAATGGCTGTGACAGCAGGGAAGTGTAATCAGAGCAAGTTTCGGAGGGCGACGATCTTGTTATTTGTTATTTCTCTTTTAGTTATGAAATATCTTAGTTGTGCAACGAGTGCAACAATTGTCGTTTCTGAAAGCATTGAAACAATAAAAAGAAAAGCTCACTTTCAACTGATCCAGTAACACAGATAGAGTGGTATTCATCTGTGCTGCGGTGTCCTGCATTTGTGCCATCTGATCGAAGTACGGAGAATTGGTAGCGTTCACGGACGCCTCCAGAAAGTTGATTTCATCAATAAGGCTAGAAAAATGGTTTACAAGGCTTGTTCACTGATAATTCTGGCGGTTCATTGTTCTGCAGCTCTGATAGGACTATCGCGAGGGATTCAACGGAATGAGATACATGTGCCGTTATGACAAATGCCTCGAAGAGTGTTCTGGTTCTTCATAGTGTCCGCCTCTATGTAAAATAAGATGAATAGTGAAATCTGCAGGGGATGGTGTGGCCCTATCAGAGCCATTAAATTTCTCACACCTAGTATTTTCAAGGCGTGACAAAATGGATGGCGCATTGACCAAACTCAAATTGATTTCAATGCTACCACAATTTGATCATAATATTTCCTGCCATGTGCACTTCGACTAAGAACATACCTTGAGTCTAAAAGTATGCAGAAGTATCAGTAACTGAAACCTGGTCGTTTCATTGAGGATTTTTGATTCGTTCGTCTCAGCAAGGTAAGTCAGAGGCTTGAGGAATGGGAAGTCAAAGAAATTGTGGAATGTTTAGCTGGCTTCACTTGTTCCCCAGTTTGTTCGGAGGATACCAACACTCTACAGTACGGAACTTGCACCTTTTCACACTGCTCTGGTGAGTGGACCGCATTCTCCTGATCATGCGAGAATCCTCAATACGACAACGCTAATTAGCGTCGTTCAGAAGTTGAAAGCACAGAGCTGAACAGGCTGTCCTAGAGAGGAAGGACAGAATACTGGTCCGGGATTCTCTGCGCGTCTAGGGGCTTATTATAGATTCCATGCTCGGTCTTCTTGAAATCTGGGCATGTCGCATAATGTTTTTACACTGTTTTGCCGTACAGGTTTGTAATGATGAAACCGCTTTATTAGGTCGACGTTTCGAACAACTCGTCGTCTTTAAGGACCCGAAAGTAGTTCGGAGCTCCTGACCTGTGACTTACCCGACCAAGCGCCCAAACGCACAACTCCCAGAAACTTGAACACTGAAAGATTCCAGCGAAGAAACCAACCTTCTGCGGTCTCACCAGCGTTGCCGTCCCACTCGATGGCGTGAACGGTAAGGGACTAATGAGACATCACGACCCAACCCCCCGCTAAGGTGCGATCTGGCTGCCCTTCCGGTTTCATCTGACGTAGGGCGTGTTCTGTCACTCAGTGAGTGGGGCTTAGACCTACGAACCACTGACATTTTGAATGGAAAAAAAGGTTTGAGAAGATTTTTCACAGTCTCTTTGAGAAGCGAGAGTGCACAGCGCCGATAGGCTACACAATCCATTCCACAACACAAAAAACGCAATTCTGCGTGCCAGAGCTACCAATAGACATTTTGAATGAAAAAATGTTTGAGAAGATTTTTCACAGTCTCTTAGAGAAGCGAGAGTGCACAGCGCCGATAGGCTACACAATCCATTCCACAACACAAAAAACGCAATTCTGCGTGCCAGAGCTACCAATAGACATTTTTAATGGAAAAATGTTTGAGAAGATTCTTCACAGTCTCTTTGAGAAGCGAGAGTGCACAGCGCCGATAGGCTACACAATCCATCCCACAACACAAAAAACAATTCTGCGTGCCAGAGTACCAAGAGAGTGAATGTGGAGTAGAAAGCATTGCGAGATGTGGCATTCACTAAAATTCACTGCGACCATGCAGTCAGTAAGAAGAACACTTGACGTTGGATCCTTCTTTTTATTTTTCTTTTTCTTATCCCTTGCGTTTATCCCGTGCCGTTACAGGATTGTTGTCTTTGTGAAGTACTTTCATTTTCTTTTATTCTGACGTGGCATGAAGTGCTTCTCATGCTTTCTTTCACACAGACCACCCTCCCTGTTGTAGGGACCTACGGCTGCTCTGCATACATTTTCTCCGAGATTTCTGGAGAAGGCGCCCTCCACGAAGCCGGTCGCAGTGCAGCAGAACAACGCTTCCTATAGCCTAAATGGGCTAGCTAGCAGGACTTAGTTTTTCGATACTTCCTCATCATTTGTCTAGCTATGAAGAAAGCATCTGTCGTAGATCCTTCTCGCATGAAGCTGAACTGCATCTGTGAGATCGGGACCATTCCCTTCAACCTTGAAGGATAAACTGGTCGTAGAGTTCATTGGGGCACAATGAACCTAATCTCCCAGAAGTCGAACACTTCAAAGCGCACCAGGTCCTACTGAGGATGGTAACGGTAGTACATACTGCTCCTCTGAAAACATGAGAATCTTCTTTCAGTGATTATGGTGTTCCGGAATCGGGTGAACAAATTGATCCATGCTCTCCGTCCGAGCCTTCTTCGTGTATGTACCAGTCGCATTTCTGACCTGCATACTTCTTAATGCTTAAAGGACATCACACTCTATACAGAGCACGATGGAGCCCTTCGGCACCTAAGAATTGTTCTCACGATTAAAGTTCCTCGTCCAGGAGCCCGTCAAAGCACTCTTCTCGCCTACGCTTGACTTCAGTTGGGATTCTCAGGAAGGCAACCTCACTGCTCTTCACGACCTCCACTACCCCGATGCTCTGAGCAGCTGCCGGGCTTTGGCCAATATGGGAGAAGAAGTTGCCTCTTTTTGGACCATCGAAATTCTCGTAAAAAGTGTTCAGGTTTCCCCACTCTTCGACTTTGCTGCAGCAGCTTGGTGGGCCTATTGTAACTTCTGTAGGCGGCCAGGTCCTCAATGGATCGCAACTTTTGCCAACGCTTGTACATTTCTTTCTTCTGCTTTACGACACTTTAAACATCATCTTTCCAGAACCACATTGTTCTTTCTCATATGAATTCATCCTGCGTATCACTCAAGGCCTGCAGAAAGATTTCCACTTCACTTGTTCCATGTTCGCTCAAGGGTACGTGAGAATTGGGGAAACCAGCTTTTACTAATCTTCCATTGAGGTTACCCTTCTCTGCTCGTTACACCATTCACCTTACGGTTCTATTCCTAGCTTTCTTTGTGTGCTCAATGGCTATTTAAGCTATCGGAGCATGACTTTTTTGACAGTTCAAAGGGACGATCTTCTTTTACTACTAATCGACTCTATTGGTTCCCTCCCTCTCACTGTAACTTACCTTGAACACCTAGTCAAAACAACTATAAACAAAGTGTTTGAACAGATTAGTGGTTGAGCTTGGTGCCACATGGAAGTAACGTATAAAACCTATGCCCGAGTTCTGTGGACAGCATGCGAGGCCGAATGAGGGATGAAAGATCTGGTTAGAGAAATCAGTCAGTATAGGGACTCTGAGCGTGGGATCGTCTATAAGAAACCTCCGAGATGTTGCTGACAATATGTAGCACGGGGACATTCAAATCTTATGCTTACAGAAGACACGCTCGAAAGAGGCCAAAGGCAGAGAAGTTGGGGAAATGAAAAGCGTTAACACAACGACAAGGCACTAAACGAAATGGTGTGGTCGTGGTCTAGTGACCTTCATAGAGAACCTTTTTCCATATGGAAGTAGGGCACAATGATCTTTATCACCTCCCCCTACTCCTTTCCCACCCAATACATGCGATGGTATTAGGCAGTTCGCCTTTGGACTTGCTTCACAAAAAGTTTTTCATTTTTCAAAGAAAAGTTATATGACGAAGTATGCACCCCTTATACGATATTCATGTTGGCTGGTTTTTAAAGTACTCCATGGGTAATTTTCTCAAGATTTGCCTTTAAATTAGTAAAGCTTGTTGATGGAACTAACAGTTACACACCGCCAGAAATTGATGAATCGATCACTTACTTGAATTTTTAGAAAAATTTACCTCTGTACTTCACTGCTCAAAGCCACGCTTCTTTGAAGTAAGAGCTTGCCATCGACGACTGTTTTATCGTTCGTCAGAGCATACGATGTCATAGGAAGAGGAGTGGTTGTTGTTGGTGCTGCAACACTAGAATCGCTTAGGATTTTCATATTTTCATGCCTCCAAGTTCGTCAATGCTTCCTGCTTGAAGTACATTTCTAAGTTCTAGTCATCAATGAAAATTTCATGGGCTTTTAAATCAGAGAGGAACTGCTCCGAGAACACTCTCTTTTCATTTAAAGTCTTACATAATTCCAACTTTTGCATAGTAAACTTCTTTAGGCTGAAGTCAGGCCCGCACCAGAAAAGCCAGCAACGCCCCTACTGTTTTCCGACATATGCCCGACAAACTGTGCTCTACGCCAAGAGGGAAGCAGTTTTGGACAATCAACAGTAAAAACCTGACCTGCGGTAGATGTGGATTGCTGCGGTAAAGTTGATGTAGTTGATTTGCCAGCATCTGATAATAATTTTATTTCACGTGTAATGTAATTCGGCACTGAAACTCTGCCAACGCTCCTCTGGTCATGCTTGATAAGCGTTTATTGTAAGATGTCGCTTTGGGTGGTAGTTGATGGACTGTCTCCTTTATCCTATACTTCCACAGCTTCCATCATAGCTCTGCTATGCATGAACTTCCAGAGCTGTCGCTGGAGATTAAGCCTCGCACGGATCCAAGCCGTGTGAGACCAACCTGCTATTACTCCAGGAAGTGATGCTCACTATAGAATAAAAGCCTCGATCAAGAAATTTTCGGTGTTTCTAGGTTGCATAGTTTGGAAAATCACGACAAAGTTCCTTGATTACTTTTTTTAAACTCGAAATTGTCGTAAAAAATTGACAAGGATCACATGAATGAAGTGTTCCGTGGGACAATGTGGTGAACAAATTCGCTGAGCCTGTAGCTAAAGATGCTGCAGTTCTCTTACTACCTACAGAAGATGAACTGATTAGAAAGGAGAAAATGTAGATTTTTCTGAAAATTTGCCCTTGTTTCGAACAGGGCGTTGAGTGCCTGCGTATACATTCATCAAAATCTTCGGCACTATTTACCCTTTATTGCCTCACTTTGTCGAGAAAGAGTTGGATTTCTATAGAATTTTTTTCAAGAAGATGAAACCGACTAGAAACTTGCCTAGAGGGGTAATTCGTTCCGTAGAACACGAATATCGCATCCATTCGTCATGAAACTTCGTAATTCATACTTAGGGGCAGGTTTTCAGCAAGAATCATGACCCATCCCCATTTCGCGCCGGCGTCTGTGGCGCGAGCGCTAGGCATCTTTATGACGAGTGATTGCCATATTCGTGTTCTACGGGTCAAATCACCTCTCTAGGCAACTTTCTAGCCGGTTTCATTTTCTTGAAAAAAATTCGATAGAAATCCAGCTCATTCTCGATTTTCAATATACAACAATGGTTAAGGAAACTCGTTGAGATGCTACATCTTGCATCACAACGAGGTGCCTCTACAACCTTATTTTGCACAAACTGTACAGAGGCAGACGTCACACGAGGCTTTTGAAAGTGGTGAGGTGTGTTACGCAGTTAGCATAGTAGCGTCTTGACAGAAGTGGTGATACATAACTGATTGAAGGAAGACAAACTTGTTAGGAAACAAATGTAGCAGATTCAAGGAGTTATAGTTCGAGTTAAGCCTTACATCAAGCTGTCCTTGCAGACGTAAAGACGTTCAGTTGCAAGCGGGATAACCGTGAAATAGGGGCACTTTCTATAGTAGACTCTCTGGGCGTGACGGCTCTAATAATGAAAAATGAGCAGCCAAAAAACTGCTCAGTTTTAATAATGTCAGGAGACATGAAAGCCGCCGTACTTCAAATGGGTGAATTTCGGAGTGCGTCAAACTCTTCAAGGGTTGACGAGCCGTACGAACAGAGCGTGGTGTGCGAACGGAATGGTGTAGGCTCACGTCTGTACTCAGAAGGATCACGAATTCGATCTTTACCGAGGCAAAAGGCATGCTTTGCAGAAATTGCAAAAATGGTGTCTGTACCAGCGTCAGGCTCACTTCGACAGCTGGCCAATGGAGAAATCTTCTCATGAAGACATTTGTAAACTTTCAAATGGACGAGTGTGAAAGCTAGGACGTCACCCGAAAGTGGCACGGGAAATCCGTGGACAATATGCAGGTGATACCGACGATTGAACAGACTCGGCCGATGAAGGTAGGTCGAATTGGAACTGTGAACGTTGGATTGCTTACTGGAAGGTCAGTATAATGGAAAACATCAGCATAGAAATCCTACGGGAGACCCAGCCAGTAGAAAGAAACTAAGTTTGAAAAATCGGGGAAAGTGTCGACGGAAATGACACTAAACGAAACGGTTAGACCATAGCGGTCGCCGAGGAGGCCGTGGCCTGAGAGAAGAGTAGTCCGCCTTCCGGCCAAAGCTTGGCATAGGGCTACTCAGGACATCAGAGTGGTGAGAGCAGTAAAGGACAGCAATGATGAGGACGCTCGGTGAGACGTAAATGGAATGGACCCTTCGACAAGCTCCTGAACGAAAAATTTCACTGTCACGACAGCTCCCAGGTAGAAGCCACAGCTGGGCCAATTGCACTCTGGACAGAGAATGAGGTTTTTCGGGCACTAGGGAAGGTGAGTACTGGTCCAGATGGGGTACCAATCGGAATATGGTAGGCGCTTGGAGAACATGGGATAGGTGGCTCACGCGATTTATGAACACAGTGACCGCTGATCAAATACCCCTGTTTGGAGGAGCAGTACTATCGCCACATCTACGAGCAGAAGGGAGATGCAATGGGCTGCTCCAACTGGTGAAATAGGGCTAATTGCGCACAGAATGAATTTGTAAGAGCGGTTAGTCGACTCAAGGTTGAGGGAACTGGTCTCATTTCGACAAGGCCTCATGCCAGAGAGATCTGCAACAGATGCCATTTTCATAGCTAGATCAGTAATGGAGAATTGTCGAGGGAACTACCTATCTACCGACCCTTCATAGACCGAGAGGGCTTGTGACCGTGTGACGTCTACCCTGACTAGCCCGTTAAAGATCGTTCCAAGAACGCAACGTATCTATCGCCTTGATTGAAAGCATGTCTTGTGCAATGAGTCCAAAAATGGCAAAATAAATATCGTGGAAAACAAAATCCGGCCAAACGTGGAAAAGACCAAGTTTCCCAGCTTGGTGGACTGTGCCAATTATAGATTACATCGTGTGAGTCATCGAAAGAATGCAGGACTCCCGATAGCTGAAGAAAACGACCAATCTGTTAACGGAAGTGAGGAACTGGCCGTAGAAGCTCGAATAATCCGGCACGGGTGAAATGAAGGAGGTCTTGCGGAATCATCTGCGACGAGAGCTGCTCCAGCTACCAAAGCAACTCATATAGGGCAGTGTTGAGACCCTTGATGCTCCAAGGCAGTGAGTGCTGGCATGTAGGCAATGATCATAAAAGGCGACTTCACTCAGCATCAATGATGTTGTTGAGATGGGCTTGCGATTGGACCGGACCGGACAGGATCAGAAACGAATACTTCAAGGGGTCAAACAAACAGCCACTGTACAGCTGAAGATGGGAGAATACCATTGCGATGGTACGGGCAAGTACTGAGCAAAACTAAGCGGTCGCGTGAAGCCACAAAAAAGATTTCAGGGTGTGATCGAGAAAGACCTTGTCGAAACGGAGCTCGAAGCAGAGGATGACGAAGATAAAAAGAAATGGAGACAACTATCAAGAACAGCGACCCTGCGAGGGAGCGGTATCAACGCAAGGGAGAAGAAGAAGAGGAGAACATATTCCAAGAATTACGCTTCAGGATTGAGTTCAATTCGGAAGAATTGTTTTCCGACCTATGGCTTCCAAAGTACCTTGACTTTGCTTAGTTATGAAAGTAAAAGAAGATATCAAAATGGAAGTAAGAAGAAAAAGAAACCCGAACTCGTGTCGGTGCTATGACCACAAATTTGATCCACTACTGCTGAATTGAAAAGCGTGGAATGGCCTTAGGTTGCTTTCATATTCCACGATTTGGCGAACGACCAGTCGCGCGGCGGGCCTCCCGAATGATCGCGCACTCGCCAAATCGTGGACTATGAAAGCAACCTTAGAAGGATGCGACAACAATAGTTTACTGCATAACTTACATTTTAAAAAATGAACGGATTGAGAAGGAATGTTCTCATAACCTGTACTGACTTCCTACAGTCTCTTCAGATCAGCCATCTGCTTTTAACCACGAAAGTAGACTTTGCCGTGCAACACAAACTGAGTTTTCAAAACTCTAGAAAACCTAAGAGGATATTATTTTTTGAGTACCTCCCTCGGTAAGTTTAATATTTTGAGTAAAAAGGACTTTTCCATGTTAATTTTCGATTAGCTCGAACATCCAAGAGGAACCACGCTCTACAACATTTTACCTTGAAAAAAACCTCCCAAAACCTCACACTCCTAAGCTACCCGTTGTACTAATCACAGCTAATCGCTAGTTTTAAGGTTGATGCAAAGGATGCCGCATTGGTTATTCTAGACATTTTCCGAATACCTGTTTCTGTTGCTAACGCATTTTCTGTCGTAGATGCTTCAGTAGCAGCAAAAAGGCCCATTGAGATTTATTACTACTAAATCCGAGTGAGAAGATCGGCGCATAGGAGTGCCTTTAAAGACCCTTCTAGACGTTTCGGATTACCTGTTACGGTCCCATTCCCCGCTGGTGCCGTCGGTGATGCTGCATCTGTAACGAGATTTCTTAGGAATTATCAGGACTGAATATGAATGAGGAGATCGGCGCATAGAAGTGCCTTTAAAGGCACAGTTCACGATAATTTTGGGGTATCCGGTTTTTGACGAAAAACGTTAGACCTACAGTAGTACAATGGAAAAGCAGAAAACGCGAAAAACGATGAATAAAAAGAAATACGAAGCTTAAAAAAAAGAAGAGAAAAGGGGGTTGGACGAGTTACACGGCGAAAAAACGGCGGTTAAGGGAATTTCCGGGCGAGTAAACGAATGCGACGTAATGTCTGCAACTGCACACAACACGCTCGAACGGCTGATTTTGGCTTCTTTGTTGATTTTATTTTTTCTAATACTGATATTAAGCTAGATTATTGTGCCTGATCCTTTCGATGACGGCTGAAAAAATTATTTAGAACAGAATAGAGCAGAATATTAGTCGAATTGTAGGAATACAGCCGAATACTATTACCAATAGGAGGCGGTCGATTAGCTTATTGATTTTTCCCTAATGTCGCTGGGATGCGAAAGTGGAACGACAATTAGATTTCGTAGTCAGCCTAGCTAGGGGCGGAGGCTGACCGTGCCTCACTCTCCGGCCCTCTATTGTGCCCTATCCAGAACGCTTTTCGGTTTTATTATGGCACATATGGTATCAGAGGGGGCGCCGAATTCATACCATGTGCAAATCTCGGAAACCATTTTTATCGTGAACCGTGCCTTTAACACGTTGACGACAACGCACGTTTGGACATTTTTGGCCGCGTGGGACAGACGCAATTTTGCGGGCGCGCCGACCGCGGGACATATATGTCCCGCGCTGTCCCTTGAGGCGCGCTTTTCGAAGCTTGAGTGTGAAACCTACTTTTAACTACTTATCGCTACTTAGTAAGTTGACTAGTAAAATGAAAAGCACACAAAAGTGTTCTATATAATAAATATCCCCTCTAACAAATGCTTATACGGACATACAAATGGCTGGAATAGAAGAAAACTTAGAAGATGCTTTACAAGTCGACCATCTTCCGACACCGAAGTGCGAAGTGGGGAGATCCAGATTACCAGATGCGCGAATTCGGACGACGGAGAGCAAGGAGCTACTGAAGAAGAGGTAGATGATATGGAAGGTGTGGAATCTAAATCAGAAGAAGAACAATCCTACAGTGAAAGCATTCCATCGTGGTTAAGCGATGCTTCGCCGCACGATGCTTGGACTTTTAGTAGTGTCTCCGGCTTATATGATGTTGTTTATGACTGTCAGGTACCAACAACTTCTACGAACTGTTTTTGAATAGAGAGATTCTGAACCTCATCGTTAGAGAAACCAATAGCTACAGGATTCGACAAAATGAAGAATTTCAGTGAGAATGAGCGCTGATGAAATGACAAAACATTCATGCAATAGTTATTTTACTAACTTGCATTCAATAGCCTGCTTCCAATGTTTTTATTTTTACTTACTTGTTGATCTCAATATAAATGCCGAAGAAGAATTTTGTGAGACTCACAAAACCTGTGCAAAGATGAATCATATCTGATCATTTTATGGACCACTATGTTTAT